GAAAGGTTAATCACTCCCCTCCTTGCTATAACATATCCACCTTTACATTTCCAGTCCTCACAATCAGTCCTGTAAACAATTATTCACCCTGGCATCACAAGAGACCCATATGCATTTCTTTTCATCAGCCCTTCCTAGACAGGTTGGATACTACTCACTGGAGACTCTACCATCCTTCCCGCCCTGTCCATCTATGTTACCTCTTGAAAGCTTGTAAGCCAGTCACTTCTTAAGTTTGTATCCCTCCCCACATTTTGGGTAGGCAATGTTCAAGTTGCCCATTCCTATTTACTCTTTGTGCAGAGGGGGTGGGAGTAATTCTTGGAGTAGGGATTTGTTTCCTCTTTTGAGTTACTGCATTTATAGGTGCAGGTACAGACTTCATTCTTATTGGATCAACTATCAACACTCACAGAAGCAGCAGTCAAGAAATCAAATGACATATTGCATTAGGCAAATTTACTGCACAAGACCTTTTTAAAATGTTGAAGATCAAAGATGTGAGCTTGAGGACTAAGGTACACCTGACTCAAGCCATAGTATTTTCAATAACCTCAAATGCATGAGAAAGTTGGACAGTGAGTAAGGAAGACCGTAGACGAATAGATGCTTTTGAGTTATGGTGTTGAAGAATACTGAAAGTGCCATGGGCTGCCAAAAGAACCAAGAGATCCGTTTTGGAAGAAGTGCAGCCAGAGTGCTTATTGGTGGCCAAGATGGCCAAACTTCATCTCTCATACTTCAGACATATTGTCAGGAGGAACCAGTCACTGGAGAAGGGTATCATGTTTGGTAAGGTGGAGGGTCAGAGAAAAAGAGGAAGACCCCCCAAAAGATGGATCGGCCAAGTGGCAGATGGACTCAAGCATGGCAACAGTAGTGAGGTTGGCCCAAGATCGGGCAGTGTTTCGTTCTGCTGTGCATAAGGTCACTAAGGGTTGGTACCAACTCGACAGCACCTAACAACATACGTTACATACATAGCCAACACTTGCTAAAATTACTTTGAGTTGAGTAATAAGAGAAGTAAAAAGGGAAGCCTATCTCTTGTTATTAACAACCTGAGATATGCAGATGATACAACCTTGCTTGCTGAAAGTGAAGAGGACTTGAAACATTTACTGATGAAGATC